AAGTTTTGACAACAAAAACAGCATGGTATTGATACAAAAACAGACAGCTGGATCAATGGAATAGTATAGACTCCAGAAATAAACCCCCAAACATACAGTCAACTGATTTTTGACAAAGGGTATCAGTCAATGCATTGGGGAAAGGAAATCCTCTTTAGCTAATGGTGCTGGAAAAACTAAGTATCCACCTGCATAAAGATTAAAGTGGATCCCCATCTTTCACCATTAACAAAAATCAACTCAAAATAGATCAAAGATCTGAACCTCAGACTTCAACCTATTAAACTACTGGTGGAAAATACTGGGGAAACTCTGGGAGACATTGGGGTAGGCAAAGATTTCTTAAATAAGACCCCTAAAGCACAGGCAATAATCTCCAAAATAGACAAGTGGAATTACATCAGATTAAGAAGTTTCTGCAGAGCAAAGGACATAGTAATTAGTGTGAATCAACAACCCTTGGAATGGGAGAATATTATTATAAACTATTCCTCAGATAAGGGACTGATAACCAGAATGAAAGGGTTATCAAGCAGCTTACCCCTCCCCCACCAAAAAAATTAACTGTTGGTGGGAATGTAAATTGGTCCAGTCATTGTGGAGAACAATATGGAGGTTCCTCAAAGACCTACAAATAGAACTAACATATGATCTAGCTATTCCACTTCTAGGTATTTACCCAAAAGACAGGAGAATGCTCAGTCAGAAAAGCACTTGCACATCAATGTTTATTGCAGCATTATTCACAATTGCTAAGACATAGAACCAACCCAAATGTTCACAAACAGATGAATGGATTGAAAAAGTGTGGCACATATACTCTATGGAATACTACTCAGCCATACAAATAGAGACCTTGGCATTTGTTAGAAAATGGTTGAATATGGAAGATTTATTGCTGAGTGAAGCGAGCCAGTCTATGAAAGAGAGGTATTGTATGTCTCCACTTACTATATACTGACTGTCCACACTCTATGGTAGAGATTGAAAGATTGGAGGACATAAAAGTAGTGAAAATAGTTATGAACCCTGCAGAGAGTGTGGAAGGAGGGTGGGAGAGGGGGAGAGTATAGGGAAGGTAATCAGGGAGAAAAAATAGAGATGCAAGACATTCATGGGACATAGAAATGGTTTATTATCTGTTAATAATGTGCATAGTATTCTCAACTGGTCTGATCTGAGGTGTATTTCACGTTGGGTAAATTCCCTTTAAACAACAAGCCAAATGATGTATAGTGATCAAATATTATTTTTTTAAATAATAATAATAGTAAAATGGAATAAAAAAATGTCTGGATATGGGAACAGCAGTTGGCATAATGGCTATCTCCCATGTAGTAGACCGTGGTTCGAGTCCCAGACCCGGTGGCTTAAACTTATGTCGGGCACATGTGCGTGCATGCCCAAGATCCCAAGAGGAGAATGAAGGAGAAGGTATGGTGGCATGGCCATCTCCTCTGGGGGGTGATTTCTCACTTTCTGTCTCCCTGTTTCTCTCATGAGCACATGCTGCACCCTATAGCAAAAACCTCTCCCCCCCAAAAAAAAGTCTGAATAAGCAGGAGTTTTTATAAACATAAAAGCAATTAAAGTGTCAAAAAGGAAATATTGATGGGTTAGTATCCAATATATCAAATGCGTTTTATTTAAAAAATAATCATGCATAAAATTAAGGCTCAATGAACTTGGAAAATACTTTTCATTAATACTTTTCATGATCAATGGTTAATACCTAATATATAAGGTTATATAATAAGGAAAACACTCCTTCCAAAAAAGACAAATGTACCAAGGACATTAACAGATAATTCATAAAAGAAAGTCTTAAAATGTTCATGTGCATTGCACATCTGGAATTTATACTAGGAAAAGTATTGTGATTATAGCATTACTTATATAGTGAAAAAGAACTGTGAAAGTTTGTTCAAAGTAAAGGTGGTTAAGTCAATAGTTGCCAGGGTCCAGACTCTGTGGGGGTGGGTTGACTCTTCGGAGGCGGTGCAGGAAGGGAAAGACTAAGGCCTCAGTGCCTTTTTCATGCATGTCCTCAGTCAGACACCCCCAGAGATTACTCTCTGAAGAGTGACAACTGCTAGGAATTATCGTGCCTTTTTATTGAAAATGTGATTACATGCAAGTAAATGGGTGAGGGCTATATGTTCTAATTATCAGTTCATAAAGTTTAATAGAGATCATAGATTCTATTCAGGGTTGGATTAAGGGTGGGTCTATTACAGTTCAGCAATTGTTTGATGTACGCAAGTCTTTGGAAACTTTATGGAATGCCATTTCAGGAAATAGCCTCCAGCAAGTAGAGTTAATTATCAGCCGATGATCAGCAGCAGCCATCTTGTGATTACTGAGTACGTTGCTAAGAAAAGAAAATCTCAAGTATATGTATTAGTTTTTATGGATCTCAATAAAGAATGATACTTATATAGTTTTATAGGGATCTAAAA